GAATTCTGGGAGTTGAAGTCCACAAGTCTTAAACTTGCCAAGTTTGGAGACCTCTGCAATAGACTTAAACGCGCTTGTCCTATGATTCAGTTTCCCCGGGAATTAATTCTCGGGGCTTTAGGGTGAGTTCCTCCCCTCTTATCTTATCGCGAGCAACCCCAGAATTGGGGGCTTGGTATTTAACGAAATACTAACTGAACATAGACGGAATGCTTTTCCTCATTCCATTTATTATAACCAGCTATGAGAGATAAAATCAGGGAGTAAGAATTTGGGAGATCAATCCGTTGGTCAGCTTGGAGTCCGGGAACATTTTCGACCGCTAAACTCTCTAGATCAACCGCCAAGCTCTGCAGGAAAGGAAAGGAAAGGTCGATCCCCGTAATTAACTGTGGACTTGTGTATTTTTTTCAGGACTTAAGTAGCCAAGGGACAAGAAGCGACCAATGGAAAAACTTTGAGGGAGTCAGCAATGTCTAGTGAGACTGGGAACGCAGCTTGCGATCTTCAATTATCCTGCCAGAACTGAATTTTCACCCACTTGTTGCTCCAAATTGCCTTTGACATTCATTTGCAGATGTCTGTCGGCTTTTTTCTTTCATTTGATCTCCTTCTATCACTTTTACCCCACTTTCTATGTAGAAGGAAGAGGTGAAATTAAAAAGAGGTGGAAAATAAAACTAGGAAAAGCGCACAGGTATCTCTTATTTCTATCGCAATGAAACGATTCCTAGATTATAGCGGGTTAGTGGATGGATAGATTGATAGATGGATAGGGCATTCTCTGCTGAAAGGGTGGACCGGGCTTCGCGCTTTCTCACCTGCAACTCAGGTGTGTGTTTTTTGAACAATGAGAGAAAGAGCGAGGGAGAGGGAAAGAGAGATGAAAAAAAGCGTTCTTTGTCAAGAAAAGCTGAGAGAAGTTTCTAACGAAGCAATAACGAGCCACTGTATTCTCTATTTGTCTTTCAAAAGTCGTTTCCCCACTGTCCGAGGCCCACAAGTAAATCATTTTAGGATGGACTGGCGCCTATGTCTTTAATGTTTGGCTTGATTTTCTGTATGGTTACTTTAAAAACCACTACTGAATTCAGTGGACTTACTTCTGAGTAGTTGTTCTAAGGGTTACTTAAGCTGCAGTCCTAACCTTACCTTTTTGGAAACATTTCTTACTGCTTATCTTTAGATCAATGAATGCATTTAAATAAATAATATACGCATTTGGAAAAAAAAACTCTTTGTTTTTACAGCTTTTTGCAGCTTTCAAGGAATGGTGATGGTGGGGGCAACAGTTTATCTGCAAACAATACTTTAATATCGCTCTTCCTTTTCATTTCAGGGTTGCAACTGAGTTTGAAAGCAGAATGGTTTTAGAAAGCTGGGGCTGGCGAGCAGAAAGGCTACAGCTTGAAATGATAAGATTCCACTTAATGACTCTCCAAATTGTCTTGAGATAGGCAGCCCAAACTGTAAACAAAGGGAAAGTACATTATTTGAAAGGGGGGAAAAAACACCGTGGTTTCACCTTTTTAAAAAAGTGAAGGGGCTAGCCATGTATATTTTTTTAAAAAAAAGATTCATTTTCTAAGTTAATGGGCAGTAAGAAATTCAACGTTTCCACCAGAGCTTCCACCAAAATCTTCAGCAATTCTGAGCTGCTCCCAGGCTTCCTACACTTCGCCCACCCCACCCCAAGTTGGGAGTTCTGAAATCGTGAAAAGCCCTCCAACTAGGGGGTCTCTTGCCGTCTGGGGAACAGGGGGTTACTGCCGTTGTTCTAGCGCCCCCGCTGTCAGTCTGCAACCAGCCCTGGGTGGATCTCGAGGAACCCTTTCCCTTTTCTGTGTTTTGCAGTGTCAATCACGGGCACATATTGCTTTCCCCTCCCTCACCTCCTTCGTTCCCCCCACTCCCCAACTACCATTTAGTAACATCCCAGCTCTGAGAGTCCGCCTCTGAGTGGCTCGCAGCAATCTGTCAACTGAGCCGGGCAGCCACCTCACAACAGATCCGGTTACTTTTGATTGACAGCGTCACCATGGCAAATAATTTGATTAAAACTATTGTCTTCTCCCCCTTGGCAGTCCCCGAGTCAGATAACCGGACCAATCACTGCGCGGCTAATCACTTTTTCATGCCAGTTTAGAACAACATTTGGAAGGAGAGAGAGAGGCAAGGAAGAGCAAAAAGGAAAGGGGAGGGGAGGACGGGCGGGGGGAGGGGAAAGAAGACAAGAATCGGCAACGAAAAGAAAAGAGAAAGGGAAGAGAGGAGAGGAGGAGGAGGAGGAGAAAAAGAAGGAAAGGGGAAGCCGGGATTTAAAGGACTTGATTCCATGTAAGCGATCCTATGGCAGAAAGGAGGGGAAGAGAGAGAGGGAGCGAGGAGCGAGCGAGCGAAAGAGGAACTTGCGAGCCGGGCCAGGGGGTGGGGAGTGGGAAAGTTCCACTCTTGCAAGCGCCCCTTCCCTCGCACAATAGAGGCGCCAAGTTTGACGGTCGGAACTCGGGGACTTACAAACCAACCCGGAGCCCCAGAGGCCGGGCGTCGGCGCGGGCGCTGCGCGGGAGCCTCCCTCGCCCGCGAAGCTTCTCCGGCTCCATGGGCGCCCCGGCCGGGACAGGAGCAGCCGCGCTGACCTAGCCCCAGGGCTTTGCGCTCGCGGAAGGCAGCCGCTCGGGCGCGCCGTGGTTGGCTGCTCTCTCGCGGAGCCCTTGCCTCATTGGCGCCGGGCGTCGCTGGCTCGCGGCCCCCCACCCCCTCCACGACCGCCTCTCCCTCCCCCTCGGCGTTTCTCCCCCCACCCCGCCACCCCAGGCGGTGCCTGCGGGGCGCTGGGTCCGGACGGGTGCCCCCTTTCGGCCAGGGCAGATGCGATAAGAGAGCCGGCGGCGACGGCAGGAGGGCCTTCCCGGGCGCGCCACCATGTCCATGCTGCCCACTTTTGGCTTCACCCAGGAGCAAGTGGCCTGCGTGTGTGAGGTGCTCCAGCAAGGGGGTAACATCGAGAGGCTGGGCCGCTTCCTCTGGTCGCTGCCGGCTTGCGAGCACCTCCACAAGAACGAGAGCGTCCTGAAGGCCAAGGCCGTGGTGGCTTTCCACCGAGGCAACTTCCGCGAGCTCTACAAGATCCTGGAGAGCCACCAGTTCTCGGCGCACAACCACCCCAAGCTGCAGCAGCTCTGGCTCAAGGCGCACTACATCGAGGCCGAGAAGCTGCGGGGGCGACCCCTAGGGGCAGTCGGCAAGTACCGGGTCCGCCGCAAGTTCCCCTTGCCCCGCTCGATCTGGGATGGCGAGGAGACCAGCTACTGCTTCAAGGAGAAGAGCCGGAGCGTCCTGCGGGAATGGTACGCCCACAACCCTTATCCGTCCCCCAGGGAGAAGCGGGAACTGGCCGAGGCCACCGGGCTCACCACCACCCAAGTCAGCAACTGGTTCAAAAACCGGAGGCAGCGGGACCGGGCGGCGGAGGCCAAAGAAAGGTACGAGTAAGTAGAGCCGTTGCTCCCTTCCGCTACTCTGCAAGGGGAAAATGCTCTGCTTCGGGGACGGTCGGGAAGGCTTAGCCCGAAGGGCGCTGCAGTGGCCCGGGGGGAGGGGTAAAGCTCTCTTCCCTTCCGAGCTAACCCTCGGGGGCTCGGGGCTGCGATTAAGAAAGGCACCCGCAACCTGGGAACGCTGCAAAGGAAGGGAACTGCAGGGCTTCTCTCTCCGCGCTGAAACTTTTTCTTTTCTTTCCTTTTTTTAAAAAAAAAAGTTTTGGAAAAGTTCGCTTAGGGAGGGGGATGTCTAAGGGAATCGGTTACCGCAGGGACCAGTTTGTTTTATTCTAGAGCAAAATCGGGCTGGGGCCAAGATAAATAGTTCTGATTCGACTTGGATTTCAAGCCACGTCTTCGGAAAAGTTAGCCTATACTAGATACAGAAGTTAAGTTTTCAATGAACGGGAGTGGAGAATTAGAAAGAACTTTCTTGAAGGGAAGCCAACTGGCATCGTTCCTTTTATCCGTGTCTCTCATTTCCTAGTCTAACATCACAAAAGACAAGAACACAAAAGACAAGAACTGTCAAATTTGCCAGTTGAGGCTATTTTTGCCAGCTCAGAAGTAAAACCCATACAGATCAAAAGTAGCCTTTCGAATTTCATTTTAATTGTAACAGCGGGTTTAGTAAGAGCAATGCCCCCAAATCTATAACTGAGAAATAAATGGATCACCATCATCCAAGATGTCGCAAGCGCTGATTTGTATGGGGGGAAAAAGACTTATTTAGCCAATTGTCAATAAGCACAAAAATAGGTGTTTTAATATCTTTTTATCTGTATCTAAATAGTACTGAATGTCATTTCACTGTCGGTGTATGCATCCTGCTTTTCAAATGAGGCAAAGAGGCCTCCAGCACTGGATGGGATACTGTATTCTTCCCAGGAGGTGCTTGTGAGTTGAATAGTGTCTAGGGTTCACTCCTAAATCTCCAACTGGCTTTTTTTTTCAACTGCCTTGAGTTTTTCTTAGATGTCTGTTTAGTGGGCTGTGAGGTGTATATTTGAATAAGTGGTCTCTAGACTTTGTGGGTTTTTTTGTTTTTTGTTTTAATCTAACTCCATTCTTTAAAAACACACCCGCTTGCACACATTTTCTCGAAAATAAATCCCAGGAGTTTCAGTACCGTTTAAAGCTTGACCCTATAGCTGCTTATCTATCCGGATGCAAGTTCCCTTTCACTTCATGAAGACTAGCTTCCGTGTCAATAGGAAGGTTGGTGGAGCTTCTAGACATTAGATCAAGGGATAGTGCGCCGAGAGCCCCCAAACTTCCATACTATCAACACAAACAAGTTATATTTATTTCTAAGAAACAATGCAGATATTCAAGTTCTATAGGAAAACCGTGTATTTCTTCTCTCTTCCCGCACGCCTTTTTCTCCCCCTATTTCTGTTCCTTTTTGCTGAACTTGCCCTTCTAAAGCAAGGGCCTGGGATCTTCCCACTGACAGGAACCCTGCCTGGACCGATTGCTTTTAAGATTTTAAGTCTGCTACCAGAATCACCGGTGGCTAGGTCCTGGGCCTTCCTTTTGGGTCCTTCGGGAATTTCAGTGTGCGCCTAGATGGTCCCAGACCAAAATTATCTTCTGGGAGATGATTTTGTCCAAAATCATCCCTGGATTCTTGGTTTGATAGATTTGTTTTTTTTTCCTCCAAGATCTAATGTCTGGGACTCTGAGATTCTGGCAGAAAGAGAGAAAGACACCCCAGGCCCCCCAAGACGAAGACAGTAAACCAGAGGCCCTCTCCATAAATATTGCAGAACAAGGAGAGTTTTATGCTGGAAAAAAAAAAGAAAAAAGCAGGGGGATAAAGTCACTTAGCGACCCAACTGGATTAAGGAACTGTTGTGTTAAGGAAGTCTGAATTATTCCAAAACATCCAGCGGGTCAAGCAGAAGAGTTCCCAGACAAGGCGGCTGGCTATTCTGCAGATTTCCAAAGCCTCTTCCATGTGAACCCGCTTGTGTCCTGGATGCCCTTCTTATTGAAAAGCGATGAGAAGGATTTCTCTGACGTTCATTTCGGGCCCGTGTTTCAGAAATAGCTTCTTTCATCTAGGTTAGACTTCTACAGTAAGAGCTGTACCAGAAAGGAAGTAAGTAAGGAAAGTTTCCAGAGTTGTGCCAGATCATTTTGGGAGAGCAGCCTCTACTTCTTTGAATCTTGTAGTTCTTGCAGCTGTTTTCCCAGGGATTGCCTTGAGGACTACTGTTTTGATAAAGTCTCTCTCTCTCTCTCTCCTTCTCTCCCCATTCTCTCTCTCTCCCCACTTTATAGCTGAAATTGATATGAAAGTCTTGTAAAAACTGAATTAGAAAACCAGGTGCAGGCAGGAAGAGAAAACTTTGCATAATACCATCAGACTACATTAACTGCTCCGCAGCCCAAAAAAAGTGCATCTAAATAATAGGAGTTTGGAGGGTTGCCGTTTGATTTTCAGGAGGCCCAGTGCAATTAAGAAAGCCCTTCAAACACGCAGAGAGGGCAAATGTCAGTTCTTCTACAATAACCTACCTGAAAAGAGATGAATTTGACACAAAGTTATCCAGGTCCCTGGCTACTTTCATTGTTGGCACCCTCCTATCCAGTAAATAAAGGCAAAGATACTTTCCTAATGAGGCAAATATTGGTCGAAAATCAAATGCAAAGTACCAGCTCCCACCAACACCTTGGGTTAATAAAAATATATATATTATCTGCTTGGTTTATTAGACCTAATCTCTGTACTGCAATCCACAGTTCGGTAGGGGTAGGGTTTTTCCTGAGAAATCTCGGTAGGGTTTTTCCTGAGAAAGTTGACTGCAGTGCTGGGTTGGACAAATAAGCAAAAGTCGATTACACCAGGGGGGTAGCAATCACTCATCTAAATAAATAGCCCCACATTCCCAGAAAAGAGGCATGGCTTTGGGAAGTGAGACTGGTAGAATAGGGTCCTAACTACCCTAAGAAACCACCATTTAACACCTGCCGATCCTGCACATTTTAGAAAAGAGGGTTGTAAAACTTTAGATGCAGTTGCTGAAATACACCAGCAAACTACCAGGTCGACTTTCACTACTGCTGATGGACTTGGCATCCCAAATGGGTTAGAATGGCAAAACTTTGTGGGCCTCTGCTTCTTGAGAAGACTTTACACACAAGAATACAGACCGAGTCCTTCACTGAGTGGCCAAATATGGAACACCATAGTGCTGGGGGAAGGAATTGCAGGTGGCTATCGAGATTCAGACAAGGAAGGTTTCTGTTTACGAGCAACAAGGCTGGTTCACCTCCAACCTCTGCAGATTTGAACCCAATGTCTCTTCCTGCACGTACCCAGGCAGGGCACCTTCCCACCCTATAAATAACTTGACCAGTTGCGGAACTTTCAGGCCGGGATTCCTATCCACTGAGATCCAGGAGAGCAGAAGCTTCTTCTGGGCAACCATTTCCTAGCCACCTTGGTTTACGTGGGTGTAGCCTTCCGTTGAGAAGGTTATGGAAAACGAAGGCCTGTAAACGTGTCGCGTATTTCTCCCGGATTGTTAATAAACAGACTTGAAATTAGAGATCTTGAAAACTGGAAACACGGGGAGTGGGCTGGGCTAGAGGGGAGGAATGGCATTGCTTTTAGTTCATGGCTCTGGCAATCGATCCAGGGGATCCCCAGGTGTGTGCCGTTGGGTTCCCTTTCCCAAATCTGGAACCTTGAAAGGAGATTGAGCTGGGTAGCGTTTAACACGAGCATAAAGAGCCTCTTGATCCGAAAGCCAATTGTAAAGCACTGGATCGGATTCAAGGCATTAGGATCGAATTCATGCCAAGCATTTCCCTAGATGGACTTGAGCTACTTTTTTTTTTTTTTTTTTTTTGGTAGTGGAAGAGGAGAAGGGCTGCCCAGGCTGACTTGGTTTTTTTGAGACATCATCTTTAATTCCTACAAGCACCAACCGGAAGGCAGTAATGCGGGCGCACAGGTTGGCTAACGAAAAAGCAGAGCAAAATGTCTCCCTCCCCCAGTAGGAGCCAATTCATTGCCGGGTCCTCAAAGCAGGATTAACAAAAGTGATTTCGGGTTTTGAGAAGGTCGCAGGCATCGACCCAGCTGCCCAGCTGCCTTCACTTGACCAGAGGTTCCTTTCGTCTGAGCAAGGACGGCAGAGAAGCGTCCTTACTCAGAACTTACTTGCAGGGTAGTTCATAAGAGTCTTAGCCAATTGCTAAGACTACAGTGATATTGGTCTGACTCTAACTAGTCAGAAGACCACTAGTCAGAAGACCATATCAGAAAAGTGGTCACGAAAAGTGGCACTTAGACCGCAACCCCGACTTTTTTTTAAAAAAAAAAAAGAACTAGGGCATAAACCAGGATGCAAATTTATTTACATTTAATTAAAATGAAAAATAGTTGGTAGGCTTCCTCTCTGGTCTGTAATTTTTCTTACGGTGTACGACCTCCCTCGTTTCTGTTACATAAGAATTAACTTTGGTAACACGACCTTTGAAGGTCAGGAGTGGGGAGGAAGAGATGCACCCGAGGCTTCCTGGGGTCTTCCTGGGATAGAAAATGGGGGTACAGTATTAGAAGGCGCATTTAATGGGAATTTCCCGTTTAATTGGAGAATTTGACTTTTCGACCCTGTTTGAAACACTGCCTGAAACTCCAATGAATTGCACCTGGCCTTTCTAAGCTCATCAGAAAGCTCCCTTTGGTGCATATGATTAACATGAAAGACTCTTGAGGACAGTCTTATAATAAATACAAAACGTAATAATAATACTTATTATTTATGTGTTGTCTGACATTCAGCGACTATTCGCTTAAAGGGAAGCTCTCCTGAAAGTGTTGCCGTTTACTTTTGAGTAAAGATACCAGATCCGCATCCGCATTACCACCACAGCTTTTTCTTTTTAATATAAGTGCAGTCAAATTTAAGGCTGTTTTTGCTGTTGCCATGACGGTCACCCGCTGCTTAATACCGATATCTGGGCAACTGCGCTGACCTGAACTGAGTATCAAATGGGATCGGACTCCCTTTCTTAGCCACCTTATACTGCAAGTGATTTGGATCCAATTAATTTGGTTAATATCAATAAGAAGTCCCGTTTTTAATTCTTTTGTTTTTTAAATGGGATTCTTTGGGTTTAAACAAAAGTATAAAGCGTTACATTCAAATAAACGTAATCTCAGTATCCCCACAGGTCTTTAAAGAGAGATGCAGTGGAATATTTTCAAACTCAGGAGCCCTCTGTGTCTAAGGCAGCGTCTTCATAAGTTGGGAAAAGTTTTTTACTTAGACGGGGCGGTCGGCATACTCAGGAACCGCCATCAGCCACCTTTGAGATCAACCGCCATACAGATGACCTCCAAGGGACTGGATTTTGTCATCTCCTTTTTTGTTGTTCAAAATCAGCCTCAGTCAGCTCAACTAAAGACATTGCCTTCAAAATCTGAAGTACATTTTTTTTTTAAAAGAAAGAAGCTTCTCCCAGAGCGGGTGTATGAGCAGCATCTCATGAATTGGAGCGGGGAGGCTATTTTGAAAAGGTGGTCTTTTCTACCGGATTTTAAGTCGGGCCAGTAGCCTTTCTTGGGAACTGCCCATTATTGGCTGGAACTAATGATTTCCAGCTGAACCAAAAAGTTTCAGTAGCTGTGTGTGTTTATCCCTCTTTTCCTTCCACTTTGTTATGATTTTTTCCCCCTCCGGTTCTAAAGACACCCTGCTTTGCTTTTTCCAGAGGCTTGTGCCACCTGAAATATTAAGTATTTTATGGTGGTGGAAACTCACGAGAATTTGCTTGATTGGAGGTGTAGCAGAGGTAATGAAGCGAATATATCATGCACTTCACAAAACAAGTTTTCGTGTAAAGCTGGAATCCTACAAAACGGGTCAGAAACCTTCTAGAATCTAGACCAGGTTCAGATAAGGCTCTGAGCCCCGACCCAGCGTGTTTTGGGACCCAGATGATCTGATGGGTTGGTGATTCAATGTGTTGGATGAGCCCAGAGAATAGATTCAGTAAACCATGGTTAACTTACAAGGGAGCCACTTGGACGAAGGCAACCTCTTAACTTCAGTCTGCTCGCTTTAAAAGGCATTTATACCCTTTGACCAAAGCGGCCTGGAAGTGGAATTGTTTCTCTACATACAAGATATTTCTTTTTGACATAGCAGCTCGGTTTGGAACCGCTGACGTTCGGATATAAAAACTGGACCTCGCCGGCCCTCTTTGTAAGAATTGCGGAGATAAATCGAAGAAGAAATCCCCCGGTGGCCTTACTGCAAACTTGGAACCCTCCGGAGTAACCGACAAAGAGATGGCGACTTCCCTTCCAGGGTCTAAATCACCTACCAACCGCCCTCCGTCCACCTTTCCCTCCCTCATTTCCTCCTCGCTTTGATTTTGCTCGCTTTGGTGAAAGAAAGAAAGTTGTTTTATTTTGCCGTACTCTTTTCTCCTAGGTCAGCCTCAAACTGACCCAAGATGTCCCGCAAAGAGCTGCAGGCGCAAGTTTTGCGTCAACCCGATTTTGATTCCTCCCCTCCGCGTTTTTTCTTTAAAACTAACAGCTAGATCGCAGCAAATCACACCTCTTCTACATTGCCACCCTCCACTACCAACTTAAAGCCGAAAACGCAGCCGGGAAAAGCAAGCTGGCCTGGGCATTTATTTGCACTTCAGGCCTTTCCCAAGCGCGTGAAAAAGCTACTTCTTCAGGCTCCGTATCGAGAATCGGCGTTCCCCGTTTTTCAGAGGCCGCCGCAAACTTGGAAGAAGTCAAAACGAGCGAAGGGAAACGGATGACGGAAGTCGGCGGGCATTTGTTCTTGGAAGTGAGCATGCGCAAAGGATGCTATGCCGGAACTTAGCGTGGAAGCAACCCTCTCGACCCAAGCGGCGTTAGGGAGTGGTGCAGATCTTAGATTAACCGCGAAAGCTGGTGAGGATCAATGTGGGTCTGCAAGAGAAGGGGGCCTTATGAGGGGCTAATACAAAGCGTTATAATTGTCCCCGGCAATGATGTACTCCGTATATTTGAATAAGGCAAATAAACCCCGCGGCATCTTCCAATCTTCAAGAAGAGATTGGACTGCCATTTGTCAGAAATGGTGTAGGGTCTCCCGCTTGGGGGACGGGGGGGGCTTGGACTAGACTCCCTTCCAACTCTGATTATCTGTTATTCATTACCTAATGTTCCCCGGTAGCGTTAGAGCCTTGCTCCTACAACTTAGGCTCTCAAAGAGATTAATGGATTATATAAATGCCCCCGGGTCTGGGAGTGACTGCCAACCGAATGAAATGTTTAACCATTCTGTTCTAAGTTGGGTGTGAATCGCTTGGTGATTATCATTACTTTGCTGTTGTTGGTGGTTTTTTTTTTTTTTTGCATTCTCAATCCCTTTGGTAGAGTTGTGAATATGATTTACGACTCCCAGAGTAAATATTCTCAGTGGTACAGGGCTGTACACGACTTATGGCCACAAACTGAGCCCAAAATTTCTGTGAGACATTTGTAAAGTGAGTTTTGCTTCATTTTATTACCTTTCTTGCCACAGTTAAGTGAATCACTGTAGTTAAGTTAATAACATGGTTGTCAGGTAAATCGGGTTTCCCCATTGACTTTGCTTATCAGAAGGTTATAGAAGGTGATCACATGACCCCAGGACTACCATCATAAAAATGAGTCATTTGACAAGTACCTGAGTTTTGATCATGTGGCCATGGGGATGCTGCAATGGTTGTAAGTATGGGGGGAAAAGGTCATAAGTCACTTTTTCCAGTGTTGTTGTAACTTTGGTCACTAAATGAATTGTTATAAGTTGAGGACTACCTGTACTTACTTTCAGGTACCTGTCCACAGGTTCTTAGGCCCGTCCTGGCCTAGTTCTGTGTCTTCACTCTTACTGGGGACGTTAGTGAGAATTAGGGCTTGTGAGCTTGTCTGTGATCAGCCCCTATGAAGACAATCTTCCCTCTCAAAAGTACTGCCTTTTTCTGGGCCAAGCCATGCTTACATATCTCCCTGCGGCATTTAATTTCCTGTTTACATCCTGTGGTGGGGATGCTCCTTCCTCTCCAATAATTTGTAATGGCCCACCACAGCCATTTTGTCCTGGGCCACTGGACTGTCTGCCCTCTTCTGGATGGACTTCACATGAATCAGTGAAAAAGAGTAGCTTTATTAACAAATGCACTGGTAGATTGATGAAAGAACGGCCTTTTCTCTATTCGTCAGGTTACTGATGGCCAGGTTACTTTCTTTTTTAAAACCCATGTAAATGGATAACAGTTCTGCCAGTTTTCCCTTGTAGCCCAAGTAGAAGGGAGTGTTTTATTTCCCCCCTCACCCATGAGTATACATGCTGGATTGAGTGTGAGGGAAAGTCAAAGGAGAAGGGCTTGAAGTCTGTAGTGGAAGCCATATATCCTCAGAGACCCTTGCTTGGCACATATGGGGTTGGGGAACAGGGGAATCCACAAACCAGGGTCCATGTAGCCATCACCCAGATAAAGCCCTTGGCTAGCATGGCTGCCAAAGCTGCAGAACAAGATTTAAATCTAGACAGCAATATCTAAAGCTAGCTTAATTTCCCAAGAGTTTCATCATGAGAGGCAAGCAGCTTACGGATGCCATGCCAAACAGACCTTAAGCTCAAGGAAATGCAGAGCCTTGCCTGCTACCTAGATATATGTCTATTAAAAGAAAACATTATTCATCTTTTAAGGAGATTGTTTATTATTTAGGTTTGGTAGGCTAGTTTCAGAATTCTTTAAAAAAAAAAGTGACACCTAACCAAGAGTGACTGGGTTCACACACAGTAATAAAGCATACTGAGGTTTGTTTGGTTTTGGCTTAGTATGTTGAGTGAAATGAACCATGGTTTTTAAACCATGTTATGTGGGTTAGAATTGTATGTGAACTTATTATTTATGACACATTCAACAAAGAAATATTAGAATGAAAAGAAATATTAGAATGATGGTATAAAGTGAAATATAATTCCGCCACCAGCCTAGTTTACATCTAGCACCAATAAATAATGCAATTTGTTTGTTTTGGCTGTGTGAATCTAACGTTTGCGATGTTAAAGTGTAGTTTATATAGTTTAGTTATTGTGTGAACTCAGCAAATGTAGTTTATCCAATAAACTATGGTTAACACAAACAATGGCTTGGCAGAGCATATAAACCCAGCTATGGCATAGTTTAGCTCCTCCAGCCCTCCACTGTAGTTCCCATCATTCACAGCTGATGAAACTTCTACAATTTCCATCATGCTACTGTTTCTGCCTGGCATCTTTTGAATGTTTAGGTCCAATCTCAAAGTTGCTTATGGGAAATTTAACCTAAGTACTTTCCTATTTATCTTATATCCTTTATTATAGCCTACTGTCTTAATTTGGGATAAAGCATTTAAAGATATATGCCCCCACAAAAAGGTGTCAGTGATTTTTACCTGAAGCATATTCTCCATGGCTCCAACAAGAGACATCCATAACAATTTGGGGGGAGTGGGGAGGGCTTATTAAAAAAAAAAACCTCACATATTTAAGTTGAAGCAAATAAAAATGAAGTTATTCTTGTCCATAAATCACTTTGAAAGATTTTTTTTAAAATAGACTATTACAGTGCTATAAGCAGGTGGGGTGGGGGAAAAGGAACCATACCTATAGCTTCAGGTTGACCTGTGTATTATATTCTGTGCCTCTAATATGCTGTCTATGGGCAAATGGTGTCCCCTCACCCACAACATACTATTTCAGCAGCCTGTACTTTTATTAAGGATGGACATGAGGGAGGAATGTGGTGTTGTGTCCTTTTGCAATCTGATGTTTTCTCTCTTCCTTGTTCTTTCTCCTATTCCCCATCCCCTCTTTTAGGGAAAACAATGAAAATTCCAGTTCCAATGGCCACAATCCGCTTTCCTCCTCTCTCAACGGCAATAAGACAGTTTTGGGCAGCTCCGAAGATGAGAAAACACCTTCCGGCACCCCGGATCATTCCTCCTCCAGCCCTACCTTACTTCTCAATTCAAACCCAGGCTTACAGCCTCTCCACAGCTTGGGCCATCCTCAGGGTCCTAGTGCCATTCCAGTTCCCAGCGCGGACCCTCTGCACCATCACAGTTTGCAAGACTCCATCCTCAACTCCATGTCTTCAAATCTGGTCGATCTCGGCTCTTAAAAATATTTGCTGAACCTACCATGCTCTCTGAACCCAGCCTCTCTCCTTCTGGGTTGTCCTCCTCTTCTTCTTTTAGTCCCTCCCGCCCCACCCCCCACTTAATTCCTCTGCTCCACAAACCAAGGATCTGAAACCATGGAAGGATCTATAAAATAGATCCATTATTTCCCTTTGGATCAATTGCCGAGCAGCTGACTGTTACCTTATCTGGAGCATAGCGTAAATTCAGAAACATTGTAAGCTGCCCAGTGACTTAAATCTTAAGAGGATGTGGAGAAACTCACTGCAGAAAAGTGGAGGACGAACATTACTGTAGGATGGAGGGAGGGAGGGGGTGGCGGTTGGTGTAAAAGCTGTTCTTTTGACAGAGTGTACGGGGCGGGGGGGGGACACCCGACCCACAGTTGGATTTCAACTTCTTAACATGCCTCTGTAAATGTGCCTCAACCTGATCTGCAGGGATCAATTCATGAAGCTGCTGAGAACTGAAGAGCTGAAGCCAAAGCTCCATCAATTTCAGCAGGATATTGGGAAGCAATACTTCTCCCCTGTGGTTGCTCCCACCACCAACTGGCACCCCATGGTATCCTCCTCCTAAATCTGGAGGCTTTAGTTACTGGGCAACAGTGATAAATTTTATCTGCCGTGAATTTGTCAAACCTTAAACCCATTTTTATTTTTTCTTGCTTGCGGCAGCAATCACTTGCCCATGTAATTGCAGAAATGCTCTTTCGACTCTTGTCCAAGGCAGACCTGGCTCTTCTGAAGGGAAGCCACGGAGAGGCCACACTATTTTTATCAGACGCAGAGGCTGCCTGAAAAGTTGATGGTTCTGTCAGCCTTATATTGTACTGCAGTTGGAAGTAAGGAAGCCATTGGGACCCTTTTGCAAAAGAATGGGATTATTTGCCTATTTCTGGGATCAGAGTAATAGGGCAACATTTTGTTTTCACCCCAGAGCCGATCTGTTTCCTTTTTGGAGAATTCATCTTGCTCGTGGACAGCAGTCTATGAAATGCCTTTTCTTGTAGGGCAGAATCAAAGGGCCTGATAGAAAAGAAGGAAAAGTATAGCATGGTGCAGTGGTTAGAGTAGAGAACTAAGACAAAGAGAGTGTCGAGTTCAGATCCTCACTCAGGCATGAAGCGCACTGGATAACTTTGGGCCAGTCAAACACACTTAGCCAGGCTACCTCACAAGGTTGTGACGATAACATTGGAGGGGGAGTATCTTATATTCTCCTTTTAAGTGTTTGTGGGGGAGGGGAATGAGATATAAATGAAAGAAATAGAGAAGCCACACCTCTTAACTTATTTGAAGAGAAAAAAAAAGATTTGTGACCATTGTACTATATGCCAATGCTAGCTATTCAAATGCTGTAATAGCCACCAGTTTGTAAAAAGTTCCTGCTTCTAAGCATGACCGCGTCCAGATAATAGTCCCCTCCCTTGTAACCTGATGCTATGCAAAGCACATGAACCTTGATTGAAGGGAAGAGGGAAATGGGCTTCTTTTGCCTTGTATAATTCCCTATCGCTACCCACCCACCCAAACATTTAGGTGGGGAGGAGAAGGCAACACCCACAAATCACTCAAGCCAGATATCTTGCCTCCACCTGATCCAGTAGCTCCAAAGGTGAACCTGGGTGAGCTGCTTGACACTGCAAACATCCGCCTCAGTTCTTTCATCTGCAAAATGGGTACAAGGGTGAGTTCCCCCAGAAGGTTCCTGCTGAGGCACTGGACAGCGTTTTGCACATTTAACTTTGAGAGAGCCTCTTATCACTCGTTATTATTTTTAATACTATTAATTGTGTTTCCCCTTGAAGCCTGTGGGTCCAACCTACGTCAAGGTGCTTCATTATACAGTCTTAGGCGAGCCCTGGATTTCCTCCTAGGTCAAGCCCACGCGGACCCCAGGACATCCCTTCAAACCAAGCAAGGCGAACAGCGAGCTTGATGACAGCCGTCTTTCTCCGGGGCTCTAGAAGAAGCCGCCGCCGCCGCCGCCCTCAACCCCCAAATGCAAAGACGGTTCCCTAGCCTGCTAGGCTCCCTCCAATTTTGTGTATTGTTTCTATCCTGTGAAAACCGCCTTTGAAAGATATTTCTGCTTCTATTTTATAATAAAAGCGAGACATCCAAACTAGCGATGCAAGAAATGGGAAGAGCTTCTGCGTTCTGGGTTCAGGTTTTGTCAGTGCTTTTAAAACAAGCCAATAACCGGGAGCCAATCGCGTCGGGTAGCACAGCCGGGCAGCGCTCTGGGGAAAAATGGTCGCAAGAAGCGGCGAAACACAACAGCCAGAAGCTGTGCGCAGGGTGTGGCAAAATCGCCCGCGTTTCCGCACCTCAGAATAACTCAGCTTCGATCCTACTAACCATCCTGACTTTTTTTTTGGGGGGGGGGGACCCTTCCCTGCCCGCTCCTCTGACAGCGGCAGAAACCTTCAGTGGCAGGGCCATCTTTCCCAGAATTTTTCAAGGAAAATGAAAGTTTCCTGAGGAAACGGACCCGCATCGTTTAGGAAACGGAAGTTTCCCCAAACGAGGCGGGAAGATGGCTTGGCTCTTTTTCCTAGGTTACCTCAGGTCGCTGCATAGCCATTTTGTGCTAGGCTCTTTACAATTTGAAACTCTCCTCAACCTATTGGTCCCCAGATCTGCTTCCTTCCAAATTGCAAAGCAGAGACTTTGGTTATTTCTCTCGCCTCTCCTCCCTTCTGTGCTCACCACGGTTTTTTGTTTGGCAAATCCCAGTTTTAATGCTCAGGATCCTAGTCCTCTTTGAGCAGGAGTGGAGGTGAACTTTATTTCTTTCCCTCCCCAATAAAACCCTATTTTCTTACAATTTCTCTTGAAATTCCTGAAAGACAGAGAAAATGGTGGTGAATAGCATTGGAAGGGTGGGGGGGAAGAGAAAATAGATCTAAAGGTGTAAATTCCAACGTTGGAAAAAAGTGAGAAATATTTGAAGAAAAAAGTGGTCCAGGACAGAAAGGAGGTGTGGAGAGAAGAAAAGAGAAAGAATCAGGGTCCAGAGAACTGGCCAATTTAGGTAGTGAAAAATTCTAGTGGTTGTTCCTGCTAAGTTGGATACTGGAATCCAGAGACCAGCTGAACCAAATGAGAGTTAAATGAATAGTAGCTTCTTCAAGATCCAGTGATTTCATGGAACCATCTGATGTTTTCTTGACAACAATACAAAAGTAATTCATAGCTTCTTCCAGGACATTTTCTCCACTTCAGTTCCCTTCCCCACATCCCAGATCACAGACCCAGGATTTCCTGATGATTTCGATCCAAGTAGCAAGCCAGTTTGGCATAGTAGTTAAAGTGCTGGCCTAAAAACCCGGAGGTTGTTGGTTCTATTCCCAACGTTAGGCATGAAAAACCAGCTGGGTGACTTTGGTCCAGTTACTCTCTCTTAGCCCAACCCCCTCACAGGATTGTTGTTGTGTGGAAAAACAGGAGTGGAAGGAGTATTGTGTATGTTTGCTGCCTTGAGTTACTTATAAAGTAATAAGGGCAGGATAAAAATCTAATAAATAAATGAATACTAATCAAGTGTGACCTCTCTCAGCTTTTCCATACCAGCAAAAATATACCAAAATTATTAGTGCAAGCCATATTTACAATCCTGGAGAGGTTTACATAGATTCCATTAAGTTCAGTAGGGTTGCCAATACAAATATGAAATTCCCATTTGATCAGTTGCTCATTTATTGAGCAAAATAAATGGTGCTTTTGTCATACATAGGCCATAAAGATCTGACCTCTATCTACTATCAGCCAAAATGTTTTCAGTCATGAATGAAATTTCCCCATGGATTACACATGAACCCTTGAGTTGCCAAAGAAACTGGCAGGACTCATCCATTGGTGATCATGACAGTAAGATTGAAGATCAGTTTTTAATTTTTGAGTATGGTTTTGCTTTAGCACAGTTCCACAACCATTCCCTGAACTAGGATTGCTCCTGATCTTGCAAAAACAAGCTGGGCCTGTTCTGAAGAATAGTGTGGAATGGGGCCAGATATGATTTCCTTCCATTTCCCATTATATTTAATTGAAAGTAAATGTGCTGTCCAGTTGGGGATTTTATTGTTTCCTCCTTTCTCAAACAAAACACTACAATTTGATAACGATTTCTAGAGATGTGGTAATGCCGGCATTGTTCAGACTGCATGCCTGAGCATCACCTGCTATGTTGCAAATAACTTGTAGTTTGTGGGTCACTGGGGTTTATTCAACAAATGCTGATTAAGCAAATTATTAAACACCATGGCCAGTGAATCTGATCAAGAATTGGTTGCAAGGTTGATCCAAACATCCTCCAAGTCGCAAAATGGTTATGTGCACTGAGAGGCAGTTCACCAGCATCATCCTCCCCCTTCCTGAATTAATGGTTTCTTCCTTCCCTTTCCTGGAGCTTGGAAAATATAAATGTTTCAAATGGGGAAGTGATAGATAAGGAGACTTTTAAAGTTTTCATGTTGCTTTTGGTGGAACCAGCTATATGTTAATTCCCGTGTAAGATTGAGAGTACCTTGGTGATGTTTCGATGAGGTCCCACTCGCCATCTTCAGGCTGGTGCTTTCAGCTTCATGCTTGTGAATAAACGGGATGATATTTCATGCCTGCCAGACATCTGGAAACTAGCCCTTATCAACAAACAAGTCCCAGCTACAAAAACCAACACCAGACCCAAAACAACACATGACGCCACTACCAATCTCCCTCACCAGACTCAAACCCACACCCACCCCATAGACGAAAGGCAACCACCATCCAGAAACCAGGCCACGGCTGCATCATCAGCTGCCACACACCCCGACCCCCAAACCAAGCAAACTGACACACGCCATGAATACATAGCCAGGTCTCAAAATCGGAGCCAATCCAAAACCTGGAACATCACATCACAGCCACCCTCTCAGGATATCACATCACGGAATTCAGGAGGTTACACCACAAAACCTCAGGATGTTATAACACAGCCAACGACCCAGGAGATTACAGCACAAGACCCAGGATGTCACAACAATAGAACTCAGAAGGTCATCACACGACCCATTACCCAGGTCGTTATAACACAGGAGGCTGATAGACACACAGCCAATACCCCAGCCACACATGTTCTTACCAAAAAGCCAGCCAATCTGCAAACATCAACTCCATTAACCAATCCATCAGCCAACCTCCCCACCAGTATTTATAGAGAGATGACAGCTCCGATCATGCTTTGCTCGCACAAGCATGAAGCCAAAAGCACCAGCCTGAAGATGGTGAGTGGGACCTCATCAAAACGTCGCCAAGATACTCTCAATCTTACACAGGAAAAGACCCGAACATGCCAAGACCTGCATACCCCAAAATACAATTCACCATGGAAACAGAAACCAACAACCAGCTTCCCTTCCTGGACATCCTAGTTTACAAAAAACTCAAGGCTCCCTAGGACACACCATCTTCCAGAAAAAAACACACACCAACCGCTACCTAAATGCACAATCCCATCATCCCATCATAATCAGGGAAGCCATCGAAATAGAGAAACACCCCCATAACATGAATAAATGGGATGATACCTCCCTCCTACCAGACATCTGGAAACTTGCCCTCACCAACAAATGAGTCCCAGCCACAAAAACCAACACCAGACCCAAAATAACACAGGACACCACCTCCAATCCCCCTCATCAGACCCAGGCCCAAACCCATCCTATAAACAAAGGACAACCACCTTCCAGAAACCAG